TACTGAGGATGGAAAAGAAGAGACATGAGGGACATAGAGCTTGGGGGAAGGTACCTCAGGACAGAGGGATGGGAATGGCATACACCCAGGGCTTTCCATATTCTTTCACAGACAGCCTGTGCCTAGGTGGCTCTGCACTGAAAGCTTCTGTCTTTGATTATCTTTCCCTTTATGGGGTTTACAGTACAATAGCACCCTCCTCTGTACATGGAGTATCATATAAGGCTGTATTTGGTATAGTTCTTCACTGTGCATGAAGCATCTCCTGGGTACTCTGGTAAATGTCCGATACAGCATACGTGGAGCTAAGGCTGGGGGAAACCCAACTTTCACCCACATCTAGCATGTCTGACTTCCACCAATGCAGTGACCTTAGGGAAGTATATATGTTGATTTTCTCAAAAACCCTTTGCATTGGTCCACAAGTGTCTTTAGCATGTGTGTCATTGAGAGCTCTCTCCATTCCTCATGTGTTCAGCCAGGAAGAAGCTGAGGACTACCCTTTTGTAGTTTTTTTTTTTTTTGTATTTTAGGGAAGGGTCTATAGGGTGTTCAGGGTCTCACTACTAAATCAGACACATAGTGATCCACCTGTTTGTAGCCTCCAAAGAACTGGGATTACAGGGCACACACTGCCACACCCAGTCTCAATTGCTGTCTCAGTGCACCCCGGGGGTGGGGCAGGAATGGCAGGCTTGGGGCCCTTTTGCAGTTTAAATGCAGCTCAGGATGTTGGTTTACTTGGCGGCATCACTATTTTATGGAAATTATTATGTTTCCTTGGTAATTAAGTTTGGAACACTGAAGCCCTAACCCAAGAGGCAGCAAAGAATATGTGAAGTTGATGGCCACACCTGCCTTTAGAGTTTACTTCTGTGCTGTCATTTGTGGATGGTTTCTTTCTTTTGTTGCCTTTTTGGTATTTAATGAGGTTCTATGGACAACTGTTGAGATTATAGGTCTTCTATATTTTCCTCTTTATTAGTAAATGACACATTAGAATACATTTAGAGCTTTGGATGGAGGAGTGATTTCTCAAGGTAGGTAAGTGATGCTGTTGAATGAACTTTTTTCTTTTGATGTGACATTCAAGATCCATACTAAATAAAACCTCATAGATCACTCAAAAGACAACAAATTCTGGTGAGAATGTAAACCAGGGCAGTCACTAGAAATCTGCATGAAGATTATTTAGAAAAGCAAAACTATAAATTCCATTTCACTGAGCTATGTATCTCTTTTGGCTACTTTCTCCAAAGAGTTGAAGATACCATATTTACAATGGTCCTTGCACACCTATGTTTATAGCTGCACACTTCATAATAGCTAAATCTAGGAAGCAGCCTATTTGTTCATAAATAGATGAACAGATAAAGGAAATGAAGTGTATACATGTAGTGGAATACTATTCAGCCACCATGAAACACAAATTTGAATTATTTGTAGAGAACTGGATATGCCTTGACATAATACTAAGTGAAATAAATCAAGCACAGAAAGTGATATGAGCAATGCATACTATAAATAATTTAAAGAGAAAAATAAAAGATTATAGGAAGAAGGAAAATAGATTATGAGGAGATTAAGAAGGGGATCTGGAGATGAGGGAGATGGGAGGAGAGGAGAAGTACAAATGCTCAAGGGGAAATGTGCAGACGGGCCCGTTCTCTGAGGTGAATGTATTCTGTATCACAAATGTATGCCAATTATAAAAGGGGAAAATAAAGTGAAGACATACTATCTCCGATACTGGATTCTCTCCCCTTTATATTCTACCTCAAGTGAGGACATTCCTTTTACATTTGACACATGTGTTCATCCACTGGTGTGTTCTTGGTGTGTCACAGGTCAAACCTTCTTCTGGGTTCTGGGAGCAGGGAGATGAGGACAACAAAATCTCTGCCCGTGAGCTATGGTCTTGTTGAGATGTGATTTTAAATGATTAATCAATTCAAGAACATTAGGTTTCACTTAAAGCTACTGCAAGGAAAAAGAAAATTATCCAATGTCTTCAAATCTGTTGCTCCTTTTAATTGACTTAATTAGGTGAAATTTATAGAATTGTAATGTAGCAAAGAGCCTAGAAGGTATTTATTTACTTCCATTTCTTCTCTATGCCTTCAGGCCACACTTCAGTCAAATTATCCTCCATACCCAAGTATCTCAGAAAAGAGCAATATTTCAAAGAAGGTCAGATTTTGGCTCATTTAGATAAAACTTTCATGAATGTCCACAAGGAAGATGAGGCAGACTTGTTGAAAGAAATAACACACACAACTACAAAGTACTGTATTGTTACAAAACATGAATGGTATCATCTACCTTACACACACACACACACACACACACACACACACACGCGCGCGCGCGCATATAAGTGGAATCCCACCTAACTATACTATTGAGGTGGTGTTATCTATATATAGTAACTATGGATTAAAAAATAAAAACATGGCTGCAAAACTAAGATCCCTTTAAGAATTTCTTCAGGTCCCAGAAGCTAAAAATGGACCTTGTCATTTGTCTTGTTTTGCTGCAACGTAGAAGCCTGTCTTTTGTTCAATGGGCATTTTTGCCCCATGGCTGCCCATCAATATGGGGTCTGTATCCACTGGGTATTGGTCTTTGGTGATCACAGGAAGGCTGTGGCTGAGTGTGTGACAGGGGCTGGGCATGCAGTCTCAGGTCTAAGGTTAACTGGCTCTGCAACCTTTCAGAGCCTCACTCTTTCAGCCAACAATGCTAGCTTCCCAGGATCATTTTGGGGGTGCGGTGCATCAAGGCATGTGAGAGGGACTTGTAAATCATGTGACTTCATCACCATGTGCCTTTTTCTGCTGAAATTCTGTCCTTCTGATTATCAGTTTGTGGAAACATTAAGATTAAGAGCTGTGCTGTCAGTCCAGTATGAGTTAACACACCAGTTTCTGGGTGAAGAGCAAAGAGCAAACGTTGGTGGTCGCTCCTTATACTCAGAATAGAGCCCAAGCTTCTGGATGTCATCCTAGGGGCTCCATGTGATCTTGTTTGAATCTTTGGCATCACTTCATCCTTCCTACTTCACGGGCTCAAGTGCTTCCATTCTAAAATAGTCAAAATGTGCTTCCAGACACCTCTGAATGTCGTGGTTACTGTTGCCTGTCTTCCTTACCTGAGTATTCCTTCCACATTCCTACAGGCTTCTCTTTGTCCCTAGATCATGGAAGCTACTCCCCCTTAAGTCTTCCTTAACTTCCCATCAGAAAGCACAGACTCATCTGTGTCTGTTTTACATATAGTATCATGATTTTCCAAGGTCTAAAGCAGCGTTGACCCATAGCAAGGTGTTATAATAAGGTGTTCAACATGTATTTTTTTTTTTGAACCAGGGATTGAACTCAGGCTCTTGCGCATACCAGGCAAGCGCTTATTCTACTGAGCTATCCCCCCGGCCCCAACAAGTGTTTGTTGATTGAAAAGATAGATCTTCACATAGTATTTATGGTAGTCTGTATTACAGAACAATTTTTTCCATTTAAGTTGGAGAAACGTTATTTATACTTACATGAACACAGCGATTTTTTGGTTCATATAATCAAGAGATCCAGGGTAAATGGCTTCAGCCATGCAGACTCAAGGGGTCCCAAATATGCCTGTGGGCATTAGTCTTTATTTTCTGTTGCTGTTTAGTTTCTGTTGCTTCATTTTCTCAACATTAGCCTGAGGCCAGATAGTTTGTTCTATTGGAACCAGATGAACTCAATGGATGGAAGATAGACATAACATAAAAAGTTACACATTTTTACACAGAAATTTAGAAATCTAACCATATACAACATTGTAGCAGTACAGTCCTATGACATTTTTTTCTTGTCTCTTGCTTTCTTTTATTACTTTTTAAAAAAAAACCATTTACTTGAGAGATAATATAGCAGTAATTGATATGGCATTAGAAGCAGTATGCATTTAGAAGACCAGAATGACAGGCATTCCAAGCATGGCCCTAGTATTACACATTACTATCCTAGGTGCAATTGCTTAGTTCACAGGTATCAGCATATATAGTTAGTCAGGGTGAGAATCCTACCAATTAACTGCTAGTTTCAAAAACCTGATGGAGATTTTCAGGATCATTGCCTTAACCATCTTGTGTATATAAAAGTTACAGTTTTTGTTATATAGGTCTTGCTTTATCTTGGTCTTAACCATCTAACAGAAAAGTATAAACACAAGGTATCAAAAGTAAAGACATATTAATATGCTGAGCTGTAAAAGGCTCAAGTCAACAACTTCTGACATTGCCAGTCCTGTGGATAACCCACTACTATTATAGACTACTGGACCTTATTGGATTATTTTGTTGAATTCATGCAGCCACAATATTTGAATGGCAATGGAATACACATCTCTGACAAAACTAAACAAAAAGGGTGATATAGATGAAAGAGACCATTTTGTAGTGAAAAAATATACATATATATCTGTATATACAAAATAATTAAAATAGATATACAGCTACTTTCTCTTAGTTCAATGAGAAGATTTGTATTAATAGTGTTTAGACAAGATATCATGTCCACATCTTGTACTATGAATAACTACTATGAAAACAACAATATGCAATGTATTGATTTTTGTAACTGTCCTACTAACCTGTTTTAAAGTTGCCTCATTGCTATTTCTATCTCAATAAAATTAATTAAAAAGAAAAACAAAGGGTGGAAGATAGGAGGACACAGAAGAGGAAAGTGAGAAGAATAGATGTTGGGTGAGCAAAAGTAAAAGATGACTTTTCCTATGGACTCTGGGCTCCTGAGCATAGAATCTTCTCTCAGCTTTGGATTTTCAGTATTTGTTCCAGAGCCTGGGTTATAGTAAGTGCACAGGAATGGTTTTGAATGAGTAGGTGTGTTTTCCTTTCCCCTACCTCTAAGAAGGAACTTCTTTAACCCCATAAAGACAGTTTTACACACACTACCTTTTGCCTCATACTATTTTCCTTCCTTTTTGTCTGTTGGCAGGATCCAACATCTACCTTCTTCCAGTTTGGAGCCTCCATCCAGCAACAAGCCACGGTCATGCTGAAGATTATGCAGGATTATGACTGGCACGTTTTCTCCCTGGTGACCACCATCTTTCCTGGCTACAGGGACTTCATCAGCTTCATCAAGACGACAGTGGACAACAGCTTTGTGGGCTGGGACATGCAGAATGTGATCACGCTGGACACTTCCTTTGAGGATGCAAAGACGCAAGTCCAGCTGAAGAAGATCCACTCTTCCGTCATCTTGCTCTACTGCTCCAAAGACGAGGCTGTCCTCATTCTGAGTGAGGCTCGCTCCCTTGGTCTCACTGGCTATGATTTCTTCTGGATCGTTCCCAGCTTGGTCTCTGGGAACACGGAGCTCATCCCCAAAGAGTTTCCATCAGGCCTCATCTCAGTCTCCTACGATGACTGGGACTACAGTCTGCAGGCGCGGGTGCGGGACGGCCTTGGCATCCTAACTACTGCCGCATCGTCTATGTTGGAGAAGTACTCCTACATCCCCGAGGCCAAGACCAGCTGCTATGGGCAGGCAGAGAAGCCGGAGGCCCCGCTTCACACTTTACATCAGTAAGAAAAGGCTCTTTGCTTTTCTCCCAAAGTGGGATCTGGGTTTTGTTGCTCTTCACTCATATATTTATTAATGGAATACTTATTAATGGAAATAGGCACTGCAAATAGAGAATGGCGTGTGCCTATTTACAGGATTTTTATTTTCTTTGATTTTTCCCTCTTTGCGATTTCCCTTTCTTCTCATCTCACTTTGTTTTTAAAATAAGTAACATTGAATTTTAATTATTTTCTGCAGGTTCCTTTTTGGTTCTTTTAACTCAACCACATTTCTGGGAAACACTCATTTAGGACTTACCACTTATGTAAAAAATGAATTTAAATTCTTTGTAACATACACATCATGTTCTTTAATATGAATATGCCATCATGTACTAAATAGAAATTTAGGGTTTTATCCTCCAGAATTTGTCCATAAGGAGCTAAACTGTAGTGATAACCATTGTACTTATCTCTTTAAGTACATGCGCAGTTATTTTTCCAGTCTTGAATCTAAAATATAGGATGTTGGGGTTGTGAGACATGTACATTTTTGACATTCAGTGTCTCTTGCCAAGTTGTGCTCTACAGAATCAGTATGGATTTGCATTCACAGCAGTGGCTTGTGAGATTATTCCACTTCCCACTTCCTTAAGCACATGGTATGCTTTGGAAAAATGGCCCATAGTTGCACTCCTGATCTCTGACTTTGTGTCTGAATTTCTTCTCATATTCTAAATGTTTTTATGGGCTGTTGGAAATCTTGGCAAGCTTCTCTCTTAAGGCTGCAACCTATTGCATCCTATGGATTTATCACAATTTATTTAACAACTTTCATCATGGTGGAGATTTAAGTGAAATTTTATGTTTCTGGGAAGTGTTCCCCTTCCTTGTGGCCAGTCATTATCTCTCAGCATTTGAAATTTAGAATGATCACTCAGGCACCCATGTCATGTGCTTTTGCCTGATGTTCACTGATTTAAGCTGTCCTTCCTTCCTTGCATAATGAGCAGCGTGGCACTGTGATGAAGGACTGGGCTCTAGAGTTAGACATATCAGAGTTATGTCTTAAATCTAGTTTTGTCCACTTTCTAGAGGAGTTGGACAATTGCTTTACCTGTCTTAGCCTCTTACGCTTATTGGCTAATGATAGTAATAGTTCCTACTTTCTAGGCAGTCATTTTCACATATTGGCATACACAAGAATTTATTTTTAAATAGCTTTTAAAAATTTTTTTAAAGAATCTTTTATTTGTTTAATCATTTAGTACAGGGTCTTGTTATGCAGCTCAGACTCATAATGATCCTCCTGTCTCAGCCTCCCCAGCTCTGGGATTACAGGCATGTGTCACCACACCTGGTTTTGGATGATGCTCAGCATGCCTAGTGTTCCACGACTGGTGCAACATGTGGTACCAGGGATCAAATCTGAGTCCTTGCACTTGCCAGGCAGGTGCCTAAGCCACAAAGCTATCTCCTCAGCCCCCTCACAAGAATTTCTGGGAGGGCCACTAACACATTACTGGGTTCCATGGTCAGAGTTTCTCACGTGTTAGTAGATTTGGAATGAGTTGCAATAATTATGGGTGGCTGTGACCCTGCAGGTTGGAGACCATGCTTTGAGAACGAGCATCTTAGAGGTCATCATGAGTACTGAACGGAGAGATGCAGGGGGAGTGCTGCTTGGCACAGTGCTGATCTTCTGGTACCTCCTTAATAAATTCCTGAGTGATGAGTGAAGGTTTTGGTCATAAGAAATTATAGTCAGCAAAGCAAGTTGGTTTATTGCCAGCAAAGTAATATGTCATTTAAAAAATGTTTCTGGAACCATGTAAGACTTTGAGTTTGCTATGCTTTAGAGGCTGTCTTTGCATTGGGGTTTTTCAGAGTGTGTGTGTGTGTGTGTGTGATGGAGTAAAGAGATGGTACTTCTTTACAATTAGCACAACTGAGAAATGAATTCTTGAATTAAGAAATCATGCTCTTTGACACTTCTCCTTGCCCTCTCCTTTTCCCCCTATTCCACAGTCCTGTCTCTACATTACCACTTTCAACATTCTAAATAATTTTTAAATATGAGGAAGGAATTTAGATAATTCAGGGTAAGATGTAGGAGCCTCTTACAAAAGCATGGTTGCTGCCAGCCCAAAGACAAGGGCTGGGTTAATGAACTCATGCTGCCATGAATAAGATGTGCCCTGAGGCTGGAAGACCCAGAGATGAACAGTCTTGATGGAAACACGACTTAATCACAGGACAAGTGAAAAGAAGTATATATAGAAAAGGAATTTGAGAGGGATAATTGGCAAGATGTTCAGATGCCTTTCCAGGGGCCACTGAGATTCCATTATTGACCCCAAATCCTCCATTTCTGTGAGCGGCTGTTGGGCTATTTCCAGGAGTTATGTCATTGCATGCAACAATTTTGTCAATGGCATTTTGGCTCCACAGAAGTAATGCATCAGGGGCAGTAGGTTGTCATCCATTGTTTGGTGTTTAATGAAACATTTCTCTACCAATAGAGGGCTCGTAATGGTCACTCTGGGTGTGAGGTAGGATAGCGACACTCTTCTTCTGCCCCAGAAAGAATGGGACTCCACCAGACTACCCTCGTCTGGGAGCTGGAGAAAAGCCAAAGAATGAAGTTCAGAAAATGAAAGGTTCTATATCTATCTTTCATCCATCCTTATTTAAACCAGCAGACTTGTGCTAGGTCCTGGAATACACAGATGTATTAAGATAAAATTTTTCTTCCTGGAGACAATATAGTCTGTTAATGATGGGAGAAATTTGTCTAAGGACAGACTCTGACAACAAGAATTAGTACTTTGTCAATATTGAAAAAGAGAATAGCACAGAATCAGATAAAACATCCTACCCAGTACTCACAGAAAATAAATGTTGACATGCCATTTTGTTTCCACATTTTACAAGAAAGAACACATTAACAATAATATAGAAGTCCTATGTTACATAGAATTCATAGAGAGAAGTTACATCTCTCTCCAGTCCTACCTCTCTCCTCTTCTTTCCATGAGAAGGAAAACTACCATAAGGAATTTGTTATGTGTCTGAATCTATTCATGTGTTTTTATGCATTTAACAAAGATGCATTTACAACCATCTACCTGATTCATGGTGCTTCTTAATGTACATTGAAGGTATCTAAGGTATCAAGTTGTTGTTTTTCTTTGTGTTTCTAAGATCATCCTATGAAGATAATTCCAGAATATTCATCTCTGTCTTGTGTTCTGGTGTGTGTGTGTGTGTGTGTGTGTGTGTGTGTGTGTGTGTGTTTTCACTCATCTATCTAATCATTTTCCCTTGATAGACATTTATATTGTGATAGAAAGGACCTTTCAGTCTGGGTAGTGGAAGGCAAAGGACAGATGTCAATAGCCTGAGTCGGAGTGGACCTCTGGGCTTATTCAGTGAGATCCTAGGGCTTCTCACTTAAAGCTTTGGAAAACTACATTTTCAGATAGATAAGAAGTTTTCTTTGTGAAGCATCTGGTAAACAAATAGCTTTCATTAGTTTCCCTGTGTAGTAGGCAGGATGCTGATAGCTTCAGAAGAGGCTCAGCGGAATTGACCTTGGATGAAGAGGGTCTCATGAGGAGGCGATAAGGGCATCTGGGGTCCAGCTTTGAATGGTTGAGAACAGTACCCGGGGGCTAGCTGGACATGCTGTTTTGTGGCCCTCAAAGACATTGCTTATAATCTTGTATATGAATTTTGCGCAGTTAGGATCTCACAGTAATGCTTTGCTGTTTGTGGTGTTTGACATGGTACAAGGGGCTGCTCACTAGGGTTGGTGTCCTCATGATCTTACTATGGATCTGTGAGTTAGGAAAAATGTAGGAGAAAGGGGGCAATTTTCTTCATGTTTAATATTTCTGGATTTACAGAAGACACTTGGAAAAGAGCAGTCAGCATTTTCCAAAGTTCAAAAATAGCTCAACCATGTTATGTAACCTCCTCCTTGTTGCTGCAAAGTTATTAAACATCTGTTTCTTCCCCAAGCACAGTGCAGATCACAGGTAACTCCCAGGATGAAGAAGGCAAAACATTACCAGTTTTGTGAGTGTGGAGTCTCAACTGGCCATTTCATTCTGTCCCGAGGGTCTTCCTTGTCCATCAGCAAGTGGAACCCGGGGCAGTGCGGATTTGTGGCGGAGCAGGGAGTCAGGCATCATGATGGGCATGTCTTCAACATGAGGCTTTGAGAGTCTTTCAACTCTTGCTTGTCTGTTCTTTTGGCTATAATATGGGGACAGTAAGAGTAAGTGCCTCCTGTGCCAGAGCCTTGCCCATGGAAAGCAGTCTAGAGATGGAGACTTTTGCAAGTGGAGCACCCCGGTCCAAAGTTGTGAAATTTAAAATACAAAAATTTTTGAATGCTGACAGGACATCACATGTGGAAGATTCCATTCTCAACTTCACATGACAGGTCACAACCAAAAGGCAGGTGCACTGAAACTATTGTCAAAAATTACCTTCAGGGGGCCTGCCCCTTAGCTTAGTTCTTCAAGTGGCTGCTTCAACAAAGCAGTCAAGCTCAGGTTGCTGCGGTTCGAGCCCCACAACTCAAGCCAGCCAAACCTGCCCTGAGGGCATTGGGAGCAAAAAAAAAATCCTTCTGCCCTTTTATGCTATTGTTTGACCCTTATTGAAATATAAATATCTATTTCAAAATAAATAATTTAATACTACAAAAAAATTACCTTCAGGTTACATTTATTATGTAAGATGTGTACAAGACATAAATGAGTTCTCTATTTACTCTTGAGTCACACTTCTGAGATATCTCATTATGTGTATATGCAGATATTCCTAAATCTGAAAATACTATGAATGTCTAGGACTGCTGGTTCAACCAGTTCAGATAAGAGATACTCAACCTGTGTTGACGAAACTAACAATTATATTTGCATGGTATAGCCCACAATATTATCATTTGTTCATGCTATAACACATATTCAGGTGCCTTCAAGAGGCCAGCTGCAGTTACCCATAGGTGG